ATAACAGCAATGTCTTTGTATATATGTAAATAAATTATACATTTATTTACCCAAGATACGACATATTCCTTTTCCTTGAATTTACATTTGCTGAGGCAAAAAAGAAATTAACCTCTTCAGCAGAAACAGCAACAACAACAAGTTCTACCTTCCAGGTTACTCATTCTTCATTTCCGCAACAACGTCCAGCTCCTTTCTCTGGGACATTGCTTGTCATAATACAAAGTGACTTCTTCCTTTTATCACATGCAACCTTAAAACACTTGTAACTAAAATACACACACACCAGCACACAAAAATAAATTGTATGATTTTAATTTACAATTTAACATGTTTTTAGCGTTATTTCTGTGTATGTTTTTACCCATGTGAGCATGAGGCTATCCCTGCTGATACGATGTGAATGACCCCACAATCTACTTGGGATTAGATTTTGAACCTTATATTTTTCACTGGCCAATGTCATTGCCCTATCTCTAAGTTAAACCACCATGGACCCCTATCCAGATTGAGGAGTGGCCAGTTTTCCTGTTACCAATCAACTCTTTTTATATTCACTTAGGTTATCAAGTGTTCACAGTTGGTTGTTGAGGAAAGAGAGAAAGTAAATAATGGCGAGGCTGTTGGCTATTGTGAATGGATTATTAGAGAAGAGGCATACTGGACATTCCTGGAGGTTCCATTTTCTGTCTGACTATAGCAAAAGGCATTGTGTAGTCAGACTTGTGGAACAACCACACCCTGCAACCTGATAATGATTCTAAGTCTGGTTAATGACATAAAAAATACAAAATACTTTGAAATATTTAATTTTATTTTTTTGCTTAAAAAATACAATAAAAATAATATTTATTCATAGTTAAATAGACACAAAATATACAGGAATCCCTTGATTAATGTGCATTTGATTAATGCATTTTTGATTAGTGCGCTAAAATATTTTTATACCAAAATTTGATTTAGTCAGTTACGTGCCGTGTGTGATACACACTTAGGCAATCATGTATCTTTTGATACATGACTGACAAGGCAGATTTTTTTCCTGCAGTAGGTTTTCATTTTTTTCTGCAGTAGACCAGTGTCTAGAGGGAGAAGAAGAGGATCATACCTTTCCTAGGGGGTATAGCACGTAAGTGAATGCAATGGATTCGAATGGAATTTGAACTTGGCTCTCCGATTCCTCAATCCGAGCCACTATCCATTACTCCACTGATTAGTGTATGCATAATATGTGATTAGTGTGGTAAGACATTCTTCAGCTTAACCATAGTAATTGAAAATTGATTTTTTTATACTTACTGATTAATTAAAAATTTTCTAAAATTTAAAAATGGAAAATGGTTTACTATTTTGTTTATTAAGTATTATGTTATCTTAGTAATTACAGTAGTGTTAAAAAAAATGGATGGTTATAGGAAGATAAATTTTATAATATAAGCTGATAATAAAAATATGTACATATCTGAATATTTGTCTCTATATGAAATTTTCCCGAAATAGAAAATATACATAAGGTTCTTTTTTAAAAAATTAAATTGAATTTTTTTTGGCATTAGATTTTAATATTTACCTACCTGCCAACATAAGAAGAGGACAAAGAAGGAATTAGAAGAATTTTTTAGAGTCATTGAATAATTTAAAGGAAAATATTTAGAAACAAACCTTAATGAAAACAGAAGCTCACAAATTTACAAAGAAATTGAAGGGGCAATTTTTCAGTACTGCCATTTATATGAAGAACATAGGAACACCATGTGACAAACCATTCTAAATAAGTTTTTCATAAAAAAAAATCAGATTAATAAACATAAATTCATAGCATTTTTATTGTTTCTTCTTATATATACCTATATTTTAATTAAAAAGTATGCAAATTAGAAATTAATTGTGAATGAGACTAAAATTTGAGGTACAAATTACATCATTTCCTATAAGTTATTATATTCGATTAATGTGTTTTTGATTAGTACATATCACTTAATGTACACATTAGCTGCACTAATCAAGGACTTCTTGTACATCATATAGTAGTAAATAGGATACAAGTATTAATCGAAAAAGCATTTACACCATTTATCTCACCTTGTCTGCCAGCAGACTTCTCTTAACCTCCCCTAAGTGGCACTGTGCAAAGTAGTTTAAAGGAAAGGACTCAAATGCTCTTTCTTTTTTGTCTCTCTTCAACCACAAGATGCCATAGTGACAAGATATGTTTTATTTCTTTTCAGAGATAGTCTCTGGGTAAACCAAACCACATGTTGCATCACACATATGACAGCCAATCACATAAATCTATATGATAAATGCAAAAGTGTCACTATGCCACACTTTTTCAAAGAGACACAACTTTAACTTTCAATTGCTCATGTTACAGAAATTTTGGATTGCCATGTTTTCATTACTGCGAATGTTTTCAACAATTTTTTTACGTGATTTTTTGCAAATAATTGTTTTTGTATGATAGCAATTTTTATAACTTGGAAATAAATTTGGGAATAATTTAAATTAATTGCAAAATCCAGCAAAAGTTCCCTATGAAATAAAAATAATTGTTTTTACAGAAAGTAAAGACCTACACACATAAAATTGTCTTTAAATTAAGTGGCAGCAGAAGAATTATCATTGAACTTTTAAAAGGTAAGCTTAAATATTAATGCAATATTTAAATGTAGTGATCAATTTTGAGTCCTTCCATAGTTTATTGTTACCTATCACATACGGCAGCAGTATGGTTGGCAAAAAGATATCTCTGCAAACAGAGGACCATATTTCAATCAAAAGAGCCAAGGTTATAGCGAGGAAAAGAAAGTCCTATGCAAATGAAAAGCCAAATCAAATGGCAGCCCAGAGAGCTTCCATTGCTAAGAATATGCAAAGACTTAGGGAGTCTCAAACAAGCTGAAGGTCCAATCAAGAGCCCTCTGCAGGAGCTAGCTTAAATATAGCCTGATAAGCTAGTATATATATATTTCTCTCCTTTTCTGAGATATGTTGTTCTGTATATAAATAAAAACAAAAATATGTATGTTTTGAATTCACTTATTTTGAAAATGTTAAAACATTCAACTGAATATTATTATTATTTGTGACCTCTTTTCATTACAACTGATAGACTGTGACATGCAGATGTAATTTTTACATACATCTTACTCCAAAGTTTGATTCATGTCCATGTCCAAAGACTATCCATGATAATACTATATTAATAACACTTTCATTGCTGTGAAAATACTTATGTTTTTGCAAAACTTACATTGTCTGCTGTCAATGTATGAAAGTAAAACAGAATTAAAGGAAATTTTAATACAACACCTTTATTTCTACTGATGGAGAACAAATGCATATGTCACTTATCGACCTGCATGATGATGCACTTCTGGTATTGTTCAATGAGCTTCTTCATCCCTTCCAAAAAGAAGCTTTTGGGTTGCTCACAAAGCCATGTCTGCTTGTGCTTATGTAATTCATTGATTTTCTCTGACCAAGGCATCCACCCTCAGGATGTGTTCTCCTCCTGCATTAGTCCTAAGTATGATGATAAACTACATCTGGCAGCAAGGCCTCTGATTGGGAGATTGGAAGTTTTGAGGAGTGTGGAACCACCATTTAATTGCTATTGTTCCCAGGTATACTCTAACCCTGGTTATGAACAAATAGTAAACCCCAAAACTAAAACAAAACACTATACAAGTATAAAAATACATTTTCATAATAAAAATACCAGCAATACATTTTTATATAAAAAAATTACCAACAATACATATTTATAGTAAAATTATCAACAGTATATATTTATAGTAAATTACTAATAGTACAGGGGGAACTAGACGTCTGGGCAGTCCTAGTTCTCCATATATCCCACCCAGGCTTGTAGCACACTAGAGAAGACACTCCAGTGATATTGCAAGACATCGGCACAACATGGAAAGTGACAGTTACCAGTCAAAAGCCCAACCCAATTGGCATAGGTCAGTGGGAGAGATCATCAAGTCTCACTGGACAGGTACCACCTGCCTCAAGCTAGGCAGCCAGTAAGGTGCTGTCCTGCCACAGCTTGCCTGCTCTACTGGGTGTGTAGGGCTCAGGGACTGATCCTCCTGGCAAGCAAGCTGTAAATCCCGCACCAGGCAGGAAAGAAAGAAACACGAAGACTCCAGCTTTTCGTTTTGCTAACTGGAACGTCCGGACTATGTGCCCTGGACTTACAGATGACATCCAACAGATCGATGATGCTTGAAAGATCACAGTCATAGACAGGGAACTCTCAAGGCTGGGCATTGACATTGCCTGCCTGCAAGAAACTCGTCTGGGTGACAGTGGTTCCATCAGAGAGGCCAACTACACCTTCTTCTGGCAGGGCCTACCTCAGTATGACCCAAGGCAACATGGTGTAGGCTTCGCTGTGAAGAACTCGCTGATACCAGCCATTGTACCACCAACTGGCGGATCTGAGAGAATCCTAGCACTGCGCCTCTTAATATCTATGGGTTTTGCCAATGTCCTCTGCATCTACGCGCCAATGCTCTGCGCCACCTCAGAGGTCAGGGACCAGTTTTATGAGGCACTGGATGAGATGATATCCAGGAACCCCAATACTGAAGGATTATACCTATTGGGAGACTTCAATGCCAGAGTAGGAGATGACTGTGACATTTGGCACTCTTTCCTCGGCTGTCAGGGCATAGGCAAGATGAATGAGAATGGACAGTGGCTGCTGGAACTGTGATGCCACCACAGACTATGCATGATGAACACTTACTTCAAGTACAAAGAATGCCACAAAGTCTCTTGGAGACAACCCCGTTCTCAACACTGGCACAAGCTTGACCTTGTCATCACCAGGCGTGCAGACCTAAGCAGCTTTCTTCACACTTGGAGCTCCCACAGCGCAGACTGCGACACGGACCACTCCCTGGTAGGCTGCAAAGTGAGACTTACAGCCAAGAAAATACACCGCTCCAAAACCAAGGGCCTCCCTCGCATCAACACTTGTCGCTCCAATGACCCTGAGAGCTCTTGCCGCTTCCAAACCACCTTTAGCACAAAGGTCGACTCATCCTCCTTCAGTGCCACTGACATCGACAGTATATAGCACCACCTCTGTGATGCCATATACACCTCAGCCCTTACATCCATTCAGAAAGAAGGATCGTCGAAATGCGGACTGGTACGAAGCTCACTGGGGTGAGATGCAGCCGGCCTCTGAAGCCAAGAGACAAGCACTTCTGGCCTACAAGCATAACTCTTGCGTCAGTACCCGTGATGACCTCAGACCTGCTTGCAGCAAGGCCCAACAGACTGCATGCCACTGCGCCAATGACTACTGGCTAAACCTGTGCATTCAGACGGCTGCCAACAGTGGAGACGCAAGAGGCATGTATGCCAGCATCAAAGCCACCATCGGCCCCACTCCCATCAAAACGGCTCCACTGAAGTCCAAGGCAGGAGAGGTCATTACAGACTGGGGCAAGCAGCTGGAGTGCTGGGTGGAGCACTACCTAGAACTGTATGCAATCCAGAACGTGGTGATGGATGCCACCCTGGGTGCCTTGCCCAGTCTCCCAGTCATGGAGGAGTTGGATGCCCTGCCCTCTGCAGAGGAACTCAGAAAAACCATCGACTCTCTCCTGCAGGAGAGCCCCTGGGAGGGATGGGATCCCATCAGAGGTTCTGAAGAGTGGCAAGCCGGCTCTGCTGCAGCATCTACATGAGCTCCTGTGCTTGTGCTGGGAGAAGGGCTATGTCCCCTGGGACATGCGAGATGCCAACATTACCACCCTCTATAAGAATAAAAGTGACCGCAGCGACTGCAATAACTACCATGGCATTTCCCTCTATAGTGTCATCTTGCCATGCCTGCAGAGCCTCGCCTCCTGTGTGTACCCTGAGTTGCAGTATGGCTTCAGGGCGGGCCGATCTACAGTGGACATGATTCTCCGGTACGCCTTCTGTAACTACACGGAAGGGCATCTACATCCGCACTAGAGTAGACGGCAAACTCTACAACATCACCCAACTGTGTGCTAAGACCAAGGTCTGTGAGGTCTTCATTTATGAATTGCTGTTTGCTGACGACGTTGACGTCCCACACGGAGGATGGTCTGCAAGAATTAGTCAGCTGTCTGGCCCATGCCTGCAAGGAGTTCAGCTTGACCATCAGCCTCAAAAGACCAACATCCTGGCACAAGACACTGCCTCCTCCCCAGACGTTGCCATCAACGGCATGCACCTCCAGGTGGTGGACTTCTTCACCTACCTCGGGTTGATCATCTCCAGCTCCCTCTCCCTGGACACCGAGATCAGCTCCAGGATAGAGAAAGTCGCTGCAGTCATTGCCAAGTTAAACAAGCATGTCTGGAACAAAAGCCAGCTGACGGAGAACACCAAACTACAAGTCTACTGGACATGCGTCCTCAGCACCCTTCCATACGGCAATGAGTCCTGGACAACTTATGCCAGTCAGGAGAAGAGGTTAAACACCTTTCACCTCCGCTGCCTCAGACATCTCCTGCACATTAAGTGACAAGACTGGGTCACTAACACAGAGGTCCTCCAACGTGCCGGCATCCCCAGCCTGTTCACGCTGCTCTGCCAAAGACGTCTCAGATGGCTGGGGCACGTACACCGCATGGGTGCCGGCTGCATCCTAAGAGTCATCCTGTATGGAAAGCTGTGGGGGGGGGGTCCTTCCCAACTGGAAGACCTCCTGATTTAAACTGTTCACTCATACACCTTTCGTTGATTCATAGTGTATGCTCCATACTGTGCTAGTATCCATCAGTGGATTTTGGCAGGTTTGACTCCCTCTACCCACAAAAAGTGCACTACAGTGTATTGTTCCTTAATGGTGCAATTGCTGAGTGGAGCATCTATATATCTGACCATGTTGCTCCTTGCTACTTGACTGAACAAAGGAATGCTGTGTGTGTCTAGCTACATATCATCCTATGTGCACGAGTGGTGTCAGGTGTCAGCACCTCTGTTGTTTTTACTACCTAATTTCAAAATTGACGTCATTTTCTGCTTTACACTCATATATGTATGTTTTCAAGACATAATTATACATCCTTCTAAAACTTACATTGCCTGTGGTTCATGTATATATATATATATATATATATATATATATAAATTTTCAAGATAAAAAGAAATGTTAGTACTATTGAAAAACCAGTGTAGACATATAGTAGTGTACAAAACAATTTGTTTTTCAATGTATTTTTGTTATATTGCATGCTAAGAGTGTTTTTTTTAGCTTAATCTATATTGAAACCAAAATGGTGGTGTACATAAGCATCTTTATAGTCATTTATTTCCTGTGAACCGCAGTTTCTTATTTTTGCCCAAATGATCAAGTAGAACCAGACAACAGTGTTATAACAATGCAGCAGTGAAAGTATTAATATTATTATTATTATATTACATTATTACTGTTACAAAGTTGATATACACACAATGGTAGTAGTCGTCACTTGTCCCAAGTCTATCTTAACTTCTGCTTATATAATGGTATAGTTATGCTAATTAGTATTAGCCAACCAATCCCACTACACCTCCTGGAACCTTTTAAGTTTAACTCCCTGAGTTGACTTATTGCTTCTCCTACATACCTTCCCCCTTTCACTGGTTTCAAGAGGATTTCTCATTATAGGAGATCTCGATCTACTTCTTTCTTATTCAATATCCACCGTTTCGTTTTCTGATTCCTCAGAAAACCCTTGAGCGCACATTGTCTCTTCTGATCTATTATCTTGTTCTTCTCTATCCTCATTTAACTCCTCAGTATCTTCAGTTTCTGAGTTTTCATAGTCTTGGCACAACCTTAGTTGGTTAGCATGCACCAATAGACCTCTACCATTCTTGGAAACCAACGCTGTATTCTGTTCCTTCTGCATTACAAATCTTACTTTTTCTGGACCCTCTTCTTTGTTTCTCTTGTACCATTGTAGGGGGCGCAGATCATATTTGGTTAATTTCTCTCTCTGGGGATAAAGATGGCACAAGGCCACCCCAGATGTACTTTCCAAATAAGACCTCTTTCCCTATTATTTATTTTATGAAGATCAAAAACTTTTTAGCTTAATGCTTGCTTTATAATTTTTTAATGTTCCTGTTTCAAAACTTCTAACATTGACCGCATTCAGTAATTGTGTACTATCAACGCTTACTAAGTCAGTACCATTAGGCCATGACTTTTTATACAATCCACTACTGTGATAGTGATTGTTTCAAATCTCTTTGCTGTTTCAAATGTCCCTTGAAAGGAACCTAATATTTTGATACAGGTTCCATCGAATTGTTTTAATCTTATTGAGCTTCTTCTTAACTTCGGTCTCCTTAATTTTTCCAAAAGATTTCTAGGAATGAGAGTTACCTCACTCCCTGTGTTGACTTGCATCTTTAAATTTATACCATTCAACTTTATACACTTAAATGTATTCCTTTTGTTTTTCTTTTCTATCGCAAAAACATCCGTTTGATTTTTTCTTTCGTCCTCTACTATTTCCACATTTTTTACATTGTTGCATTGCCATTTACACATGGCTTTAAAATGATTCTTTTTTCTACAATTATCACATATCTTTACCCATGTAGGACATTTTCCTCTTTTTGGCTCATGTTCATAACTGCAATACTTGCATTTTGATTTTGTTTTTTTCTTAATGGCACATATTTTCATCATTTTTTCTTGTTGGTTTTTTTTCTATATTATATTTTTCAATCAACTCTTCCTGCTGTATAAATTTGATACAAACTTCTAAATTCATATTATTGGATTGCAACCTCTCCAAAGCTTGAAATCTTTGGATAGTATCATATAATCCTTCCACCAGTCAAAGCTGAATCAATTCCTCCTCTGTTGTCATTCCTTTTCATCCAAGTTCATTAAAGTCACAATACCTACTAGTACTGAGATATTTCCTAATAGGTTCTCCAGGCTCTTGTCTTAACACTAGAAATTTGGTTCTTTCTGTAATAACCACTCTTTTTTTTGGTTGGATATACTTTAAAATTATGTCCTTAATGTCTTTAAAGTTTCAATCTCCTCTGGATACATCATTAAGGACACTTGCTTAATGGCTTTACATCCCGTGGTGGCCATAAATAAATCCGTGATTTGTTTCTGCTTCTGGTCATCTGCTAATTTCTTCATTCTGGCCATTGATTCAAAGTGCTTTAACTAGATAATAACCTCCTCAGGGTTTTCCAAATCCAACATAGTTTTGTTCAGCGACACCATTTGTTACGAAGTCGATATACACACAACGGTAGTAGTCATCACTTGTCCAAAATCTATCTCAAGTTTTGCTTATATAGTGTTATGGTTATGCTAATTAGTATTAGCCAATCAATCCCACTACAATTATTACCAATATCACTTCTTTGTACCTTTTGTTTTAGATGTTATAATGGCAGATATATAGAGAGAGATTCTTGCAATTTTGAGGCATTATTTTAAACTGGGTCTCAAAGCTGCTGAAGCTGTTTACAGAATTCAGGAATTGGAAAATAATGAATGAATATCGAACCATACACCCCAAAACTGGTTTAAACATTTTAAGAGAGGTGTCTTGTACCTTGAAATAAAGTTAAAGGAAATGAAACAATATTAGACTATACTGCCCAAAAGTGGTTTAAATATTTTAAATGTGGTAATCTTTCACTTGAAATAAAGTGAAATAACACTTAGTTATGAATTATAATGCTTTTAAACACAAGGTATCAAAAGATACCATATTATATAAACTTAATGAAATTAGCTTTAGATTAAAAGTCTGTTAACTTTTAGAAGAGCTAGGATCATCAGAAGATACCATATGTAGAACATTATATAAACTTTTAAAAACAGAAGAGCTCTTGAGAGTTTTCTCCAATTATTGGTAGTGTTTGTAAAGAAAAAACTTTAAAAATCTGTATAAATTAAGATTTGGTAAAATGAAGAAACTGAAATTATAGCAGTTACATTAGTAGGACATATTCTGTTAATTAATGGGGATCAATTTCTAGAGATTTCAAACAAAAAATAATTGTATTGAAAATTATTAAGCTATGAATCCCTACTGAGTGGATACCAACTTTAAAGAAAATTCAATCAAAATTTAACTTATTTTATAGAGAAAAATAAAAATTTACACAGTATTTAAAAAATATATCCAATTATTAATCTGCAAAGTTTCAGCTTTTAAGCATGTATAGTTATTAATTTATTATGAATTTTATACTCTTCAAGTATTTTTCTGTTAAATATTTTATGTTTACTACTACATCCGTTCACCAGGTATAAATAAAAATATATCCGAAGTAGTCAGCCTGAGTAGCACTCCGAATAACAGCTTGAGTTGAAGCAGTAAGAAGGGTAAGAAATCTCCCTGTGTCTAGTCTATTTCCTGTTATTATGAAAACTGTCTTCATAAGAAGAAACTGAAGTAAAAACAAAAAAGAAACAATTTTTGTGTGTGCATGCATACATATGGTGGCTATCAAACATATATACATACATAAATATGATGTACATTGTAGATAGATGCATGCAAGTATACATATAGTGTATATCACACACATATATACACATGCATACATATGGTCTATATCATATACACATATATGTGTGAGCATTATGCATACATACAGTGTATATCACACTCACACATATATGTAGGTATATATTTTTATTACTTCAAACGTTATTTTTAGCGGATACCCATATTTG